GCTACATTGAACAAAAGATTTTCAATGTAGACAAAACAGTCTTGTAGTGGAAGAATGTGCCATTTAGTATTTTGATAGCTAGAGAAGAGAAGTCAATGCCTGGCTTCAAAGCTTCAAAGAACAGGCTGACTCATGTTATGGATTAAAGCAGCTGGTGACTTTCAGTTGAAGCCAATACTCATGTACCATTCTGAAAATCCTAGGCCCTTAAGAATGATGCTAAATCCATTCTGCCTGTGCTCTGCAAATGAAACAACAAAGCCTGGACAACAGCACATCTCTTTATAGCATACTTTATGAATATTTTAAGCCCACTATTGAGACCTACTTCTCAGAAAAAAAGATTTCCTTCAAATATTACTGCTCATTGACAAGGCACTTGGTCATCCAAGAGCTCTGATGGAGATATACAAGGAAATTAATGTTGTTTTCATGCCTGCTAACATAGTATCCACTTTGCAGCCCATGGATCAAGGAATAATTTCAAGGAGTAATTTTGCCTTGCAAAATATATTTCTTAAATATGAATTGAAGTTGAAATTACTGCCGTGGATAGTGATTCCTCTGGTGGATCTGGGCAAAATACACTGAAACCCTTCTGGAAAGGATTCACCATTCTCAATGTCATTAAGAACATTTGTGATTCACTGGAGGAAATCCAAAGACCATTAATAGAAGCTTGAAAGAAGTTGATTCTAATCCTCACGGGTGGCTTTGAGAGGTTCAAATTTCAGTAGAAGTAACTGTAAATGATTGCAGATGATGAAGAAATTTCCACAGCCACCCCAACCTTAAGTAGTTGCCACCCTGACAAATCAGCAGCCATCAACATCAATGCCTTGCCCTCTACCAACAAAGATTACAACTCACTAAAGGTAAAGGGTCAGATCATTGTTAGCATTTTGAGCAACAAAGTATTTTTTTAATTAAAGTATGTACATAGTTTTTTTAAAAACAAAAATTCATTTATTATAAAATACATAAAAGAGAGTTTCAACTCAGGAAGTTATCAACAGAAGTTTATGTCAACAGAAGTTGTCAAGAGTTATCCACATTTATTTTTCAAACACAATTTAATGAAATACAAATAATAATCATTAAGTTAAAAATAAAATTGAAAGCTATTTATTTTAATAAGTAAATTATCAGATAAGCTTTGCCAAGTCTAAACAATTGAACAAAAGAGAATAAACATAATAAATCAGTAGTAATAAATAATACAAAAATATTTTTATATTATGAAGGAATAATATATACCAATACACTTAAGAATAAAAAAATCAATTTGTCTAAAATTATTTTAAGAAATACAAACTACCAATATTGGCTTAAAGAATAAGGCTGGGCACGGTGGTTCACACGTGTAATCCCAGAACCTGGGAGTTTTACTCTTGTTGCCCAAGTTGAAGTGCAATGATGCAATCTCAGCTCACTGCAACCTCCGTCTCCCGGGTTCAAGCGATTCTCCTGCCTCAGTCCCCCTAGTAGCTGGGATTACAGGTGTGCGGCACCACACCCTGCTAAATTTTGTATTTTTAGTAGGGACACAGTTTTACCATGTTGGCCACGCTGGTCACGAACTCCTCACCCCAGTGATCCGCCCACTTTGGCCTCCCAAAGTGCTGGGATTACAGGTGTGAGCCACCATATCAGGCCTGCACATAGTTTTTTAAGACATAATGCAATTGCACATTTAATAGACTCCAATATAACTTTCATATAAACTGGGAAATCAAAAAATTCATGTGACTTCATTGTGACATTTGGTATGTTGCACTGGTGCAGAACAAAATCTGTATCTTTGAGATGGGCTTGTATTTCATTTATGTTTCCACAATTGCTTCTCTTTGTTCAACCTACTATATAAAGACTTAGCTTGTGCCACTTCTTCAGGTCTTCATTTTCCTTTGGGGGTTCCCACATGCATGTAAAAATCTGTATGTTTTTCTGCTGCTAGTCTGTCTTACATCAATTTAATTCTCAGGCCCAGGCAGAGACCCTGAAGGAGTAGAGGTGAAATTTTGCTTTACCTACACCAGTAATGATCATAATTACCTCCACTCTGAAAAGCCACCCACTGAGATGCAGCCCAGCAATGAGGAGCAGATTCTATCTAAAGAATAATCTGAGCCCATTATTTATGAGGAATAGACCCATATTAAGGCCTGCTTCTAAAGGACCAGAAATGGATTCAGGACCCACCAACCATACCTCTGCAAACTCTCTGTCTTTGCTTGCCAGAGCATAGAATTGTAAAAAAATGACTCAAGGAGCAGATGCTAAAGTTTCTAGGTAAATACACTGCCAAAAGAATGCCAAACTTGGATCACCAAGATTCAAGACAGCCTAACTCCCGAGCTACCACCCAGGCAGGAGAACCACCCAGGCAGGAGAACCAGGCAGGAGAACCAGTACTAATAAGAGGTTGGTGCAGCCCAGAAGGGGAACCCTCCCCAGTGTCTGTCTTACATGCAGCCATGAGCACAACAGACTGAAACCTCGTTTACTGCCAGGTCAGGGAGTCCCAGGATACGTGTGTGAACTAGGTACTTGTAACCATGATGTGCTTTCCTTTTCTTCCCTATTCTGAATGTGAACTTTTATTGTAATTTTTTCCCTTTTACTACTTACTATTGTATTCTTATGTAGATTTCTTACCACGTAGAATTTTGTTTCGTGAACCTGACTCAAAAGAATACAAATCACTCAAAGATCCTGGATGTAGTAAATTACACCCCAGGAAAACTGAAAATAAATAAATAAATAAGTAAATAAAAAGAAAAAAGAAAAAAAAAAGGACAGAAAAGAGAATTTTTCATAGTTTTTAATAACCGTTTTCTAACAAGTACCATTATAACAGTACTAATGAAAATCAAACATACTTCAAAATTGTTAAACTATATAAGAAACACCTCTCCCCAAAATCCAACTGTACAATCAAATCTGCTTTGCTTTCTCAACCTTTCCTTCTGATTTTAGTCTTTGTGAATACATAACTGAACATGATGTAATCTGAAAATTTCACATACGTATATAATCTTGGAGCTAAAAAAAATCATGGTCTTTGTCAAAAAGCCAAAAAGACCTGGGATCAAAAGTGAATGTAAGTCCTGGCCATGGGCGGTGGCTCACGTTTATAATCCCAGCACTTTGGGAGGCCAAGGCAGGAGGATTGCTTGAGCCCAGGAGTTTAAGACCAGCCTGGGCAATATAGTAAGAGACTGTCTCCACAAAAAAAATAAAAATAAAAATAAAAAATAAATTAATTAGGTGCAGTGTTGCCCACCTGTGGTTCCAGCAACTTAAGAGGCTGAGAGGTAAGAGGATTGCTTGAGCCCAAGAGGTTAAGGTTGCTGTGAGCTGTATTCACACCATTGCACTCCAGCATGGGTGACAGAGTGAATGCAAGTCCTACAGGATAATTTGGGCTGTCTCCTGTTCAGGAATACTCACATTATGTTTTACATTTCATGTGTATGGAGGGCTTCTCAGCAGCTAAGGAGTGGGATGGAGAAGTCACGTACCTTTGAAGATTCATTCCATCCCAACACACCATACATCTGGCTTCACTGGACTTACCCAATCCTGATTCTGGGAGTGGTTCATATAACCTACACCTGGCCAATGGACTGCACCCCTCATCCCCACCATGATTAAAGCAGTTGGCTCAGGGAGGGGCAATCATCACTAGCTGAATTATTTTCCTCTTGCTTTAGTAACAAATTACCACTGACTCCAATTTTTAAAGTTCTACTGTGGGTAAAATGCTATCAAACAGCATGGCATGCCACAGAAAAATCTTTCATGAAAGGAAGAGTCAATTGATGTGGCAAACTCCTTTGTTGTCTTATTTGGAGAAATTGCCACAGCCAAGCCAACTTCAGCCTCCACCACACTGATCAGTCAGCAGTCATTAATATTAATGCAAGCCCTTCCACTAGGAAAAAGATTATGACTCGCTGAAGGCTCAAATGATTGTTAGCAATTTTTTTTAGCAATGAAGTATTTTTAAATTAAGGTATGTACTTTTAAAAATAACAATTATATGCACTGGGAAACCAGGAAAATTTTTGTAACTTGCATTTGCTTTATTGTGGTGGTCTGGGAATGAACTCTCAATATCTTTGAGGTATGCCTGTATATGTTATATATATACATTTACATGTGTAAATGTTATATGTTATTGATTGGTTGACAAAAATATTTGATGAAAGGCTCATATTTCCCCCAGGGACAATTGTTCTTCATTCACTAATTTAGGGTTCCTGATGACTATGAAACAAAACTACCATGAATAACAAGAACCAAATGTATTTCAATCTATGACATGGTAATACAGTCATGTGTCACATAATGTTTTTGTCAATGACAGACTGCATGTATTATAGTGGTCCCATGGATTTTTAATGGAGCTGAAAATTTTCTGTCACCTAGTGACATCGTAGCCCTTGTAAGATCATACTGCAAGGCATTACTCAAGTGTTCGTGGTCATGCTGGCGTAAACAAACCTACTGCTCTACCAGTCATATAGAAGTATAGTCTTGTGTTACGTAACAACAAGGATATGTTCTGAGAAATGCATCATTAGTTGATTTCTTCATTGTGCAAACATCATAGAATGTACTTACACAAACCTATAATGGTATAGCCTACTATACACCGGGGCTATGTGATAAAGCCTATCATTCTTAGCCTACAAACCTGAAGAGCATGTTACTATACTGAATACTGTAGGCAACTGTAAAACAATGGTAAGTATTTGTGTATGTAAACATATTTGGCTAGGTGTGGTGGCTCACACCTGTAATCCCGTCACTTTGTGAAGCTGAGAAGGGAGGATCACTTGAGGTCAGGAGTTTGAGACCAGCCTGGGCAACATAGTGAGACCCTGTCTCTACAAAATAAAAAATAAGAAAATACCTGGGTGTGGTGGTGCACGCTTGTAGTCCCAGCTACTCAGAAGGCTGAGCTGGGAGGATCACGTGAGCCCCAGGAGGTGGAGGTTGCACTGAGCTGTGATCACGCCACTGCACTCTAGCCTGGACAACACAGTAAGATCCTGTCTCAAAAAGAAAAAAAAAAGACTATGTTACCAGCTCATGTATTTACTATACTGGTCTCAAACTCCAGGCCTGAAGTGATCCTCCCTCCTTGGCCCCCTAAAGTGTCCCAAAGTGCCAGGACTACAAGTGTGAGCCACTGTGCCTGGCCAGGGTTGTTTCTTTCTGGAGTCTCTGAGGGAACATATGTTCTGTGCCTGTCTTCTAGCTTCTGGTGGTTGTAGGTAATTCTCGGCATCTTTTTGGCTTGTAGCTATATCATTTCAATTTCTAAATCTGTTCTTAACATGGCCTTCTTCCCTGTGTGTCCTCTGTGTCTCTCTATCAGCACCTTTCTCTTTTTCTCTTATAAAGAAATGAGTTGTAAATTTATGGCCCACCCTAATCCAGGCTGACCTCATCTGACCTTGATTATATCTGCAAAGATTCTATTTCCAAATAGGGTCACAATCCCACAAGTATTGGTGGTTAGGACTTCAACATATCTTTTGTGAGGACACAGTTCAGCCCACTCTACCCTGTTTTCAGTTAAATTAGCTTAAGTGGATATCTGCTTTTTTCTTGTTCTAAGACTCTTGCAGACAGAACTCCAGTGACCTTCAGCTTCACTCCTCAGTCACCCATTTTCATAGCTCTTATCAAGACCCAAAGTGAGAATTGATAGTTATCTCTCACTTTCCACAGGAACTTTTTAAACCTATTCTATTCCATTTATAAGTGTTTCTCTTTGTCTCCCCATGCCCATTGATACTTCACTTCCTTTCTATGGTGGGTAGAGAGGTCCCCACTAATGAAGGATGTGGCAGATTTCAGTTCAATATCAGAAAGTGCTCCACCTGATATATCATTTTTTAATTATAAAATTTTTCAAAGAAGAGTGGAAAGAATAGTATATTTTACTCTAACCACCTTTAACAGTATCAATTCAAACACCCCACTCTTATCAAAGCCATTTACTCTTCAAAATGTCCCACCTGGTTTCCCCTAATACATCTGCTCTTTGATCTCACTACAACCTTCAGCCTCTGTTTTCTCTATTTTCTCCCTTTTTATTTTCTTTCTACATCACTTACATTCCCTGATCCAAACAAACTTAATTTTTACTGTCAATATTTTCCTCTTAATAGCCGTGGAAGGAAAGTGAATTCCTCGGCAGGCAGGGATGGGTCCCTGGTGAAACTCAACCTTGAAGCTGAGGATAGTCTAAGGCTTGAAAACTGAGATGCCAGTTCTGGATAGAATCCACAGACCAGAATGAGGACTCCCACTCCCATTTGGCATGCTTCTTTCCAATTGGTCCTTACCTTTCACCATATACCTATCTTTCTGTGATTGGCTATGGGCCAAGTCTTCATTTGCATAGAGTGAAACGTCACTCCAGCCCCCCATCAGTTTTGGAACGAGCCTTCACTTCTGCCTTCAGTTGTTTTTTTTACATCATTGTGTCTCTTTCTGAGTGGTGTTTTTTCCAAACAGCCCCCAGACCAGTCAGCACACTCCTCCTTCCTTCCCAGTCCATATAAGCCCTGAACTTAGCCCTGCAGCCAGCAACCATCTTTTGGATTCCCTCTCTGCTGAGAGCTTTTTCTGTTGCTTAGTAAATCCTACTCTGCTTTACTCACTCTCCAGTGTCCGTCTGCCTTATTCTTCTTGATCATGGCACAAGAACCCGGAACTCACCAAACTGCAGGAGCACAGGAACTATAGTGCTCCAGCTCACTGAGCGGCTGGTGGCAGGAGTAAAAGGACTGTAGCACTTCCTCCCACTTGCCGAACTACAGAAGTGAAGAAGCCATTGGGCACCACTCCCTCCTGCTCACCAATCAGCAGAAGTAGGAAAGCCGCAACATTCCATTGATTCCTTGCCCTTCAGTTGCATCCAATGGCAAAATTCTAAATCCAGATCTAATTGCCTTCTTCATGCCTATACTTGTGCCCTTGAGAGCTGCTAGAGAAAATTACACCACTTAGGCCTGTGCAGTTCTGACTTCCAGCCTAGACTCTCACATCTGCTTGGCAGTCGTTCAGAATTGATAGTTATCTCTCAACTTACATAGGAACTTTTTAAACCTAATCTGTTCCATTTATAAGTGTTTCTCTTTGTCTCTCCATGCCCATTGATACTTCACTTCCTTTCTATGGTGGGTAGAGAGGTCCCCACTAATGTGGCAGGTTTATCTGACCATTCCATTCCCCAGACCAAAACAGATAGACATATAGATATGCATATACTCTCTTCCTGGAACTAGAAGCTTCTCAAGGTTAGGAAAAGTAAAAGGGGAATTAGAGTAGCTATGCAAGGTTGGAAAAAAACGTGATCTTCTTTTAGTATTATAAAGTACAAGAAATCCCTTAGCAGTGAGGACCATGCGGTGTGTAAGGCAAGTGCATTATTACCACACACTCTGTTGCAGCCAACCTCATGGGATGTGCCCTCTCCAGGCTCACCCAGTACCTTATGAATTAATTGAGGTCCTGGTTAGACTTCTCTGTGCGCTCTGGGAAGCTGTCATGGATCCTTTGATTCACTTTGAGAGCCTTCATCCTCCAAATCCAAATCCTTAAAAACAACAAACAAAAAAACAAACAAACATATGTAACTCCCATAACATCTCCAATTCTCTAATGCGAATGGAACAGAGGCAGTGTTTGAGCAGAATTCTTCCAAGGGTCTGTGTTTGCTGAGATACTTGTGCCCCATATACCTCACAGGGGTACAGTACAATTGGGGATTGCCAAGGGAAAGTTTAAGATTTACCTATTTGAGGTGGCCCACTGCTTTTAAAGTCTCATCTCCTGTTCTTCCAAAGACTTACCAAATATAATGAGATTGTCTGGATACACCATTATGTCCAAGGAATTTATATTTTCAGACATTCTCTCTATATCACCTGCTGGGGTAGCTGGGGTCCCGGAGACACAGCTTCTTTTAGACTTCGTGTTTTTCTTTCACCTAAAGTAGGGTCGACTCATTTTTTTTCTGAGCTAGATCTTTTCTTTTCTTTGTTTTATTTTAATTTTTTTTATTGGAATAAAGCTGCTATTGGCTGGTCTACAGGGTTCTTCTTCCATTTTACCCCCAAGTATATTCAGATATTACATGCTTACTTCCCTGAGTCTGAGGCAGGTGTCTTTAAATAGGTCTAAAATAGGCATCAGCCTCCCGAGTTGCTGGGATTACAGGCATGTGCCACAACACCCTGCTAATTTTGTATTTTTAGTAGAGACAGGGTTTCTCAAAGTTGGTCAGGCTGGTATCAAACTCCCAACCTCAGATGATCCGCCTGCCTTGGCCTCCCAAAGTGCTGGGATTACAGGCATGAGCGACCACACCCGTCATAGAGATCAGGTTACAAGTCAGCTATCATTAGCTAAATCTCTGCCTGCAAGGTCAGAGAGGTCAGATTACAAATCAACTACCATTAGCCAAGGCTCTGCCTGTATCTGTAACAATGCTCCTCTTGAGGGAAGTATTCTGTCTTGCCGTTTGCGGGGAAGAAATTGTAGACTCAGAGTGATATTTAGTCAATCAAAACTTCCTCCTTCAGTATACTGAGAGAATATGTTTCTCTTTTCTATTCTTTTCTCTCTCTCTCCACTGTAGGCAATAACCACCCAGAGCTCTGTTAGCATAAATTTTATGCAAATTTTATTCAACAATGTTAACTTGGGGAAGAAGAACAGAATTTGTATAGTGGTTTAGCAGGGTCAATTGAAGTTTAGGTAGTTTGGAGAATTAGTCAAGGGTTTTCTCCTATCAATAATCTGTGCAGATTAGCAGCCAGGATTTGGGAAATTTTGGTTTTTTCAACAGGAATGGAGAACAGCTGGGATCTGAGGTCATGTACAGGAGGGAGTAGAGAGGAATAGTTGCAGAAACCCAGTGGAAGATTCTCAGTCCTTCAGAATCTCTTATGTTATTTTTAATATAATAAATACTTTAATATGCAAAATATATAAGATATATATGTACATTATTTACATATCTTTATATATGTTATATTTATATATTATATATAAAAGACAAGCAAGCATATTTTATAGACAAAAAGAAGGCTATTTCATAATGATTTTACAAGCATTATATATTCTTTTTCCTTTAGCATTATGTACCCTTAGAAGGAACATAGAGATTCTTGCAATATATTGTTGAAGAACAAGAGATACTGTTCACAGTCTACTAAGTCATCTGATTCCATGAGAAGGAAGGATTGTTTTGTGGTAGTATCTCCCATAAGAACAGGATGAATCCTCTGGAAAAATACCCACTTAAAAATTTAAAATTAAAAACAAAAATTTAAATTTAAATTTAAAAAAGCCACCACCACCAATGCCACCACTACCATCATTACCAATACACCATTAGCACCACCAAGCACTGGCTCAGCAGTTAGAACATTTTACATTTTCTTTTTTCTTTTTTTTTGAGATGGAGTTTCACTCTTTTCACCCAAGCTGGAGTGCAATGGCACGGTCTCGGCTCACTGCAACCTCAGCCTCCCAAGTTCAAGCAATTCTCCTGCCTCAGCCTCCCAAGTAGCTGGGATTACAGGCATGTGCCACTACATCCAGCTAATTTTGCATTTTTAGTAGAGACGGGTTTTCTCCATGTTGGTCAGGCTGGTCTTGAACTCCTAACGTCAGGTGATTCGCCCGCCTTGGCCTCCAAAAGCGCTGGGATTACAGGTGTGAGCCACCTCACCCAGCCACATTTAAAACTTTCAATGTGAAAAATTGATCTCTTTTTGACAAATTGTCTTATGCCATATTTCATATATATCTTAATTTTGTTGGATTCCAAACTCCAAATATTATGACATTAATACTTAGTTAATATGGTCAAGTGAGTAATTTTCTATAATAAAATGGTTTTTCTAGAATACTTTCTAGAAAGCAGAGAGCTTTGTATTGCTAATGTTGTTTCTTTTTTTTTTTTTTTTAACAGGGTACATTAAGCTGCCAGCTCATCCCAGTTGGACAAGCTGCCTTGTCTTTCTCTCCTTCCTTGCTGTAGGAGTTTTCCGTCATTTCTCTGCTGAATTCCAATGCTCTTTCTTAGATGATCTACATGCTATTTTAGCACTTCTTTGTCTCATCAAACTTCTTTAATGTCATTATTTTGAATTCCTTTTCAGGCATTTTATAGTTTGTTCGTTCTCTCTCTCTCTCTCTCTCTCTTTCTTTCTTAGACATAATCTTGCTCTGTCACCCAGGCTGGAGTGCAGTGGCTCGATGTCGGCTCACTGCAACCTCTGCCTCCTGGGTCAAGCGATTCTCCTGTGTCAGCCTCTCGAGTAGCTGGGATAGCTGGGATTACAGGCATGTGCCACCATGCCCAGGTAATTTTTTTTTTGTATTTTTACTAGAGACGGGTTTCACCATGTTGGCCAGGATGGTCTTGATCTCCTGACCTCATGATCCGCCCACCTCGGCCTCCCAAAGTGCTGGGATTACAGGCATGAGCCATCATGCCCAGCCTGTAGATTTTTCATTGCAATCTGTTGCTGGAGAATTTTTGTGTTCCTTTGGAGGTGTCATGTTTCCTTGATTTTTAATTTTCCTTGTGTCTTTATATTGACAATTGCACATCTGGTATAATAATCACTTCATCCAATTTTATGAATTGGTTTTGGTAGGGAAATACTTTTTTTCTGTAGATGTATCTATAGCATTGATTGGATGGGGGTACTTTGGCTTTGATTCTAGATGGATGCCATAGTGTAGTACCTGTATTATTTCTTTGGCTCTAATTAGTGGCAGTGGTGTTTGTGAGTTCCTTAGTGGCTTAGGCTATGATATTCAGTGGAGGTTGTGGTGAAGCTTTGCTAGGGACAGGGACCCCAACGAGGGCCTGGTCTTTGGGCCACATTGGTGGCAGTGGTGGGCCAAATGGGCCAGTCCTTGAGTCCCTGGGTAGTGTATGCAAGCACCAGTAATACCAGGTCTCAGCAGGTTGATCCTTGGCCCTTCAGGATCTTGAACTGGTGCTAGTAGTGGCAGGACTATGCTCTGTGGGTGGGTGGGTTCTTGGGCCCATTCGGCAAGTGTTGTTCATGTTCAAGTGAATAAATCCTTGTTGATCTTTCAGTCTAGTTGGGCTGGCAGGTATATCTGTAGGTGAGTTCAATCAATCTCATGTAACAGGATTATGTAAGAAAAACATACTGGATGAAACTGGCAAGGCCTCTTCCTCAGTTGTCAGAGATATGGACAGGAGTTTTTTCTTTCTAGAAAATATTCCCAAGTCATCTTGAAGACATGGTAGCACCTCCTCAGGTTGCTCCTAAGAGAAACATTTAACACATTTTAAATCTTATTCGATGATGGAGAACAAATAAATCTCATCTTATATCTTGCTTTCCCAGCACTTAATTTGATTACAAGACCATTTTGATTGCAAAAAATACCAACTACCAGCTGGGCACGGTGGCTCACGCCTATAATCCCAGCACTTTGGGAGGCTGAGGAGGGTGGATTACCTGAAGTCAGGAGTTTGAGACCAGCCTGGCCAAAATGGTGAAACCCCGTCTCTACTAAAAATACAAAAATTAGGTGGGTGTGGTCGTGGGTGCCTATAATCCCACCTACTTGAGAGGCCAAGACAGGAGAATCACTAGAACCCAGGAGGTGGAGGTTGCAGTGAGCCGATATGCCATTGCATTCCAGCCTGGATGACAAGAAGAAAAGAGAAACACAAACTAACAAATTCAAACTAGATTAAGCAAAAAGGTAATAGATTGATTCATATAACCACAAAGTCTATGGGTAAGGTTGGTTTTAGGCATGGGTGAGCCTAGGAGCCTACACAATATTCTTAGGACTAGGACAGTTGTTTTCTTTGTTTTTTTGTTTTTTGTTTCTTTTCTTTGAGACAGAGTTTTGCTCTTGTTGCCCAGGCTGCCGGAGTGCAATGGCGCAAACTCAGCTCACTGCAACCTCTACCTCCCGGGTTCAAGCAATTCTCCTGCCTCAACCTCCCGAGTAGCTGGGATTACACGTATGCGCCACCACACCTGCCTAATTTTGTATTTTTAGTAGAGTCGAGGTTTCTCCAGGTTGTCAGGCTGGTCTTGAACTTCCAACCTCAGGTTGCCCACCTCAGCCTCCCAAAGGGCTGTGATTACAGGTGTGAGCCACCACACCCAACCTGGACCATTTTACTTTATTGTTCAACTTTGTTTTCTTTTGGATTGGTCTAATTCTCAAGTTCCAAGTACAGATACAGCTACTAATAGTTGTAGGCTCAGAAAATCCCTAAATCACTAAAGTGCTTGCTTTACTTACAGCAAATGTTCTAGGGAAGAACATAATTGGCTTGTGTGACAGATGACTCCCCAAAGATGTCATGTCCCATCCCAGAACCTATGAGTCTGTTACCTTACATGACAAAAGAAACTTTGAAGATGTAATTAAGTTAAGGTTCTTGAGATGAGATGCTCCCTATTGAGATAACCTCTCCTCTTGACATTATCCTGGATTATCCAGGTGGGCCCCAGGTAATCACAGATGAAAGGCAGGAGGTCAGAGAAGAGAAGAGGTACTATGCTGTTGGACCTGAGGATGGAAGAAGGGAGCCGTGAGCCAAGGAATGCAGGTGGCCTAGAAGCTCTAAAAGGCAAAGAAACACATTCTCTCCTTGAGTGTCCAGAATGAACATAGCCCCAAGGACCCATTTTAGACTGATCTCCAGTACTGTAAAACAATAAACTTGTTGCTTTGTTTTAAGTCATTAAGTTTGTGGTAATTTGTTACCAAAGCAAGAGGAAAGTAATTCAGCCTGTGATGATTGTCCCTCCCTGAGCCAACTGCTCTGACTGTGGAGGGGAGTGAGAGGTAGTCCATTGGTGTGGGTTATATACACCACTCCCTGAATCAGGGTTGAGCTAAGTCCAGTGAAACCAAATGAATGATGTGCTGGGGTGGAATGGATCTTCAAAGATACATGACTTCTCCACCCTACTCCTTATAGCTGCTTAGCAGCCCTCTATACACATGAAATGTAAAACATAATGTGACTATTACTCAACAGCAGACAGCCCAAATTATCCTTTAGGTCCTGCATTCATTTTGAATCCAGAGCCTTATTTTTTTTTTTTTTGAAAAGATCTATGATTTTTAATTCCATGAAATTACAATAAAGCTCCAAGATTATATACGTATGTAAAATTTTCAGATTATATCCTGCTCAGTTGTGTGTGCATGAAGATTAAAATCAAAAAGGTTGAAAAAGAAAGCAGATTGGTTTCTATGGTGGGTTTTTTGGGAGAGTTTTTTCTTACATAGTTTATTTTGAAATATGTTTGATTTCCACTAATACTGTTATAGTGGTACTTGTTCAGTAAATGGTTATTGAAAACTATGAAAAGTTCTCTGTTCTCTCTAATCTTTTTTTTTTTTTTTTTTTTCATATTTCCCCAGTTTTATTGTGGCATAATCTACTACAACTAGTATCTTTGAGTGATTTGTATTCTTTTGAATCAGGTTCATGAAATTCTACATGGCAGGAAATCTACATAAGAATTCAATAATAAATAGTGAAAGGACAAAAAAAAATTACAACAAAAGTTTGCATTCAGAAGAGGGAAGAAGGGGACAAGTCCATAGCACACACACATCCTGGGGGTCCCTGACCTGGCAGTAAATTAGGTTTTAGTTTGTTGTGCTCATAGCCACATGTGAAATAGACACTGAGGAGGCTTCCACTTCTGCAGCTGTACCAATTTCCTCTTGGTACTGGTTCTGCTGCTGAGGAGGTACCTCAGGAGTTAAGCTGTCCTGGGCCTTGGTAATCCAGGCATGGGATTCCTTCGGCAATGTATTTACCTTGAAAACTTAGCATCTGCTTCTTGATTCACTTTTTCACAATTCTATGCTCTGGCAAGCAAACACAGAGTTTGCGGAGCTATGGTCTGTGGGTCCTGACTCCATTTCTGTCTCTTCAGCAACAGGCCTTAATACGGGTCTATTTCTTATAAACAATGGACTCGGGTTGTTCTTCAGAGTGAACCTGCTTCTAATTGCTGGGCTGCATCTCAGAGGGTGGCTCTTCAGAATGGAGGTAATTATGATCATTACTTGTATAGGGAAGGCAAAGCTTTACCTCTCCTTTCTTAGGGTCTTTGGCTGGGCCTGTGAGTTACACTGAAATAAGATAGATGGGCAGAAGACAATCATTCAGATTTTTACATGTACACAGCAACCCCCAAAGAGGTGGCAAAATCTAGGCCAGCCTGGGAAACATAGTAAAACCCTATCTCTACAGTGCTTACATATTAGGTTGAACAAAGAGAGGTAATTATGGAAAAGTAATTGCCCAGACCAGGGCAATAAACTGAATATCATGATTAAGTCACATAAATTTTTTGTTTTCTCAGTTTATATAAACGTTATGTTTACACTACGTTGGAGTCCATTAAATGTGCAATTGCACTATGTCTTAAAACTATGAAGATATTTTAATTTAAAAATACTTTATTGTGGCTGGGTGCAGTGGCTCATACCTGTAATCCCAAGACTTTGGGAGATTGAGGCGGGCAGATCATGAGGTCAGGAGATCGAGACCATTCTGGCCAACATGGTGAAACCCTGTCTCTACTAAAAATACAAAAATTAGCTGGACGTGGTGGTGCGTGCTTGTAGTCCCAGCTACTCGGGAGGCTGAGGCAGGAGAATCGCTTGAACCTAGGAGGCAGAGGTTGCAGTGAGCCAAGATCGTGGCACTGCACTCCAGCCTGGTGACAGAGCAAGACTCTGTCTCCAAACAAACAAGCAACAAAACAAAACAAAAAAACAAAACACTTTATTGCTCAAAAATGCTAACAATCATCTGACTCTTCAGTGATCTTTTTGCTGGTGGATGGTCTTGCCTTGATGTTAATGGTTGCTGATTCCTCAGAGTGGCAGTTGCTGAAGGTTGGGGTGGCTGTGGCAATTTCTGCATCATTTCTGCAGTGACTTCCTCTACTGAAGTTTGAATACCTCGAAGCCACCCATAAGGATGAGAATCAATTTCTTTCCAAACTTCTGTTAATGTTCATATTTTGACCTCCTCCCATGAATCACAAATATTCTTTTTGGCATCAAGAATGGTGAATTCTTTTCAGAAGGGTTTCAATGTACTTTTCCCTGATCCATCAGAGGAATGACTATCTATGGCAGCTATAGCCTTACAAAATGTATCTCTTAAATATGACTTAAAGCTGAAATCACTCCTTGATATATGGGCTACAGAATGGATACTGTGTTAGCAGGCATGAAAACATTAATGTCCTTGTATACCTCCACCAGAGCTCTTGGGTGACTACGTATGCTGTCAAAGAGCAATCATATTTGAAAAGAATCTCTTTTTCTGAGCACTAGGTCTCAACAGTGGGCTTTAAATAGTAAACTCTGCTGTAAAGTGATGTGCTGTCATCCAGGCTTTGTTGTTTCATTTACAGAGCACAGGCAGAATGGATTTAGCATCAATCTTAAGGGCTTAGGATTTTCAGAATGGCACATGAGCATTGGCTTCAACTGAAAGTCACCAGCTGCATTAGTCCACAATATGAATCAGCCTGTCCTTCGACACTTTGAAGCCAGGCATTGACTTCTCCTCTCTAGCTATGAAAATCCTAGATGGCACGTTCTTCCACTAGAAGGTTATTTTATCTACATTGAAAATCTTTTGTTCAACGTAGCCACTTTCATCAGTTATCTTAGCTAGATATTCTGGAGAACTTGCTGCAATTTCTACATTAGCACTTGCTGCTTCACCTTGCACTATTATGTTATGGAGACAACTTCTTTCCTTAAACCTCATGTATCTACCTCGGCCGGCTTCCAAGTTTTCTTCTGCAGCTTTCTTACCTCTCTCAGCCTTCACAGAATTGAAGAGAGTTGGGTCTTGCTCTAGATTAGGCCTTATTTAAGGGAATGTTGTGGCTGGTTTAAACTTCGATCCGGAGCATTAAAACTTTCTCCATGTCAGCAATCCAGCTGTTTCGCTTTCCTGTCATTTGTGCGTTCACTGGAGTAGCACTTTTAACGTCCTTCAAGAGCCTTTCCTTTGCATTCACAATGTGGCTGTTTGGCACAAGAGGCCTAGCTTTCAGTCCATCCTGGTTCTGACATGCCTTCCAATTTAAAATGAGAGATATGTGAGTCTTCCTTTCACTTAACCACTTAAGAGTCCACTGTAATTTAAATATTGCTATGTCTCAGGGAATAGGGAGGCCCAAGGAGAGGGAAAGGGATGGGGGAATGGCCGGTACTGGAGCAGTGAGAACACACACAACATTTATGGATTCAGTTCACTAGTCTTCTAGGGGTGTGTTTCATGACACCACAAAACAACGATCATAGTAATATCAAAGATCACTGATCAAGCTAGACATGGTAGCCCACACCTGAAATCCCAGCACTTTAGGATGCTGAGGTGGGAGGATCGCTTGAGGCCACAATTTGGAGACCAGCCTGGGTAATATAGGGAGGCCCCATCGCTACAAA